TTGAGGTAGGGTCTTGACAACTTTGCCCAGGCTGACCTCCAACTCTTGATCTTCCTGTCTCTGCCTCCTGAGTAACTGGGATTACAGGTGTGCACCCAAACCCAGTTTGAGGTTGAATATTTTTATAAGTTTAAGTACTGATGATTTGAAACTTCCTTTAAATGAAATGTATGCTAGCTGTCCTACTGAGGCTGTTTTGTGACAGATTTTTTTTCTTTTTTGGGGGGCAATAGTAGGGTTTGAACAAGGCTTTGCCTTTGCTAGGTAGGTACTCTACTACTTGAGTCACACTCCTAGTCCTTTTTACTTTAGTAATTTTTTGAATAGGGTTTAGCTTTTATGTCATGCTGGCCTGGACCATTATCTCTTCTTTATGATTCCTATGTATGTGGGATGACAATCATGAGCTTCATGCCCAGCTTTTAATGGTTGAGATGGTCTTGAGAATTTTTTGCCCAGACTGGCTTCAAACCTCAATCCTCCCAATCTCCACATTCTGAGTAGCTAGTAGTTTTTTCTTTTTTTGCTGCTGCTGTTGTTTAGAGTGTATGAATATTGAACTTTTAAATAAACTTTATTTTTTGAATAGTTTTAGATTTACAGAAGAACGAGACTGTACACTTCCCATAAACCATACCTAGTTTCCCCTGTTGCTGATCTCTTTCATAATACAGTGTATTTTCATATTTTGTGTACCAGTATTGTACATTATTATTAAGTAAGATTCATCCTTTATTGAGATTTCTTTAGCTTAACCTAGTGGCCCTTTTCTTTTCCAGGATTCTGTCAGATATCTTATTACATTAAGTCATTATTTATCTTAAGCTACTCTTGACTGTGATGGTTTCTCAAATATTGTTTGTTTGTGTTTGATGACTTTGACCATTTTGGGGAGTAATTATCAGCTATTTCTCAGGATAGTCCTCTTTTTGAATTTGTGGCTTTTTTTTTTTTTAATTTTTTTGTGGTGCTAAGAATCAAATCAGGATCTCACATAATTAGTAAGGCATTATACTACTGAGCTATGACCCAACCCTGTTATTTGTCTTTATTTTTAACTGGGGTTAAAGGTTTTTGGGACTAATCCCTCTGTGAGGTAGTATACTGTAAATAAATGTAGAATGACCTTACTAAAGGCTGCAGTGAAGTGAAAAACTCATCTTTAAAAACTATTTGTGCATTGTCTGGCATAGCATAAATAATGTAGCATATAAAGAGTCCTAAGCTAACCATAAAAGCCTTCTTTTTTTTCCTTGCCATATTAGGGGTTGAACTTAGGGCCTCACCCTTGCTGGGCAGGTACTCTACCACTTGAGCTACTCCGCTAGTGCTTTTCTCGTTTATTTTTGAGATATTGTCTTGCTTTATGCCTGGGCTGTCCTGAATCTCAATCCTCCTGTTTGTGCTTCCCTGCCTAACTTCGATGTCAGGCACATGCAGTTGCACCCAGCCCAGTGGTTAAGATAGGGGGTCTTGTGAACTTTTTGGCCTGGGCTAACCTCAAACTGTGATCCTCCACATTTCTGCCTCCTAAGTAGCTAAGGTCATAGGCTTGGGCCACCATGCCCAGCCCTTTTTACTCTCAGTCCTGCTGCCTAAACCTTCCACTTGCTAGGAGTAAAAGCACATTATTACCCCTTTTTAAACTATATTCAGAGCACCTTGGTTGTTGTTGAGCCCTGTCAAGATCCCTCTGCTTTAGCATCCAAATTCTTGGGTTATAGGCATGTATCACCATACTAAGTTTACTGTATTTTTCAGTACCTTTTGATGTTTTGCTTTCTCATTAACACTCCTCATTAGAAGATTTTAAATCCCTTTTTACTTTTTTTTTTTCTTCATCATTTGGTGCTGGGATTGAACCCAGGGCTGTACCACTGAGCTACATCCCAGCCCCTTTTTACTTTTTTATGAAGACATTTTACCTTAACTTACTAGGTTCTTAAGTATTTCCATAAGTTTACTTACTTCTTAGATTTTAGAGTTTTAGGGTCACACTCCCACAATTAATATATGATCTTTAATTCCAAACATGCTTTCATCAGTGATGAGTGGTTTTAAAAGTTTGGGTCAGGGCAGGTGGAATGGCTTAAGTGATAGAACACCTGCCTAGCAAGCCTGACGCCCTGGGTTCAACCCCCTAGTACCGATTTTTAAAAAAATCTGGCTGGGCGCTGGTGGCTCACACCTGTAATCCTAGCTACTCAAGAGGCAGACATCAGGAGAATTGAAGTTCAAAGCCAACCTGGAAAAATAGTTCATGAGACCCTATCTCAAAAAACCCTTCACAAAACTAGGTGGAGTGGCTCAAGGTTTGGAACCAGTACCTCAAAAAAAAAAAAAAATCTAAAGATTAAGAGGATTGGAGCAATAAGGAAATAGAACCAATTTGAGATTTCCCTTAAGTCATCTTCCATGGATTATTGGTGAGAAAATTTCCTTTGTTCAGATTAACTGTTTAGCATGAATTCCATTCCTGTGCTACTTTATTGCTATCAGAATTAAAGGTCTTCCTTTCTTCTTCTGCTTCCTTTTCCTCTCCTTCCTCCTCCTCTCCCCACCTCCTTCATACAGTTCTGCTATATAGCCCAGGCTGGCCTAGGTCTTGGAATCCTCCTCCCTCAGCCCAGTGCTGGGATTATAGGTATGTGCCACCACACTGGCCCAAAGCTCTTCTTTAAACAGAGGAAGTTGGCAGAAGATACTACATTTCTGTCTCACTAATTCTGGAAAGGTTAAGAATTAGGAAGAAAAACATGTATTAGCAAAAACTCTTTCTCTTCACAATTGTGAACCTGTTTGCCTGGAAATAAAATGCCATTATATCATTTTGGAAAAATAAACTACAGCTGTTTTTTAAAATCTTAATTTTCTACCTGGGGGCTGGTGGCTCACACCTGTAATCCTACCCCAGGAGGATGGAGGTTTGAAACCAACCTGAACAAGTAGTTTTCAAGATCCTATCTTGAAAATAACACATGGAAGGACTGGTGAAGAGGCTGTAGAGGCAGAGTGCCTGAATAGCAAGCTTGAGGCCCTAAGTTCAAACCCCAGTACGATCAAAAAAAAAAAAAAGTTCCTTCTACCTTCTGAAGTTATAAAATGAACACGATGACCCTACTTAGAATATCAAAAAATAAGATAAAAATCTTAATTTTCTTATAATATTCTTTAGGTGCTAGTGAGGAAGAAAATTAGAAAATTGTTCTTTGGCTCTTTTGGAAGGGGGTGAAGTAGAGAAAAGAAAGTTTTGGTCTCAGAGGAATAGAGATGGTTACTCACCTGCCTAGAGACTTGTATCCATTTCTGTACTCTGTTCTTCATTGATCTCTTTTTCTGTCATTAAACCCATACCACATGTCCAGATTCCTGTAGTTTAAGTTTTGAGGTTAGAGGCTATAGATTATTAAGATTTGCTCATTGCTATCAAAATGGTTTTAAATACTCTAGATCCTTAACATTTCTCAAGAAGCTTTGAAATCTGTTAGTCTCTGTTTTAAAAAGGTTGAGTTTATGATTAGGCTTGTGTTGAATGGGTCATTTGGGGACAATTAACATTTTAACATTGACCAACTATATAGTATATCTTTCCATTTGTTTAGATTTTCTTGATTTTCCCTCTGCAGTGTTGTATTCACTTTAGTGGTCTTAGGTTTCTTGTTAATTTTATTGCTAAATATTTTTTATCTTTTAATGTTTTTATATATGGAATTAAAACAAATTTTAGTTATTTGCTCCTAGTCTTTAGAAATGTAATTGCCTTTGGTATATTGACCATCTTTACTGAGACCAGTGGTTTTTTTTTTTTGTTTTTTTTTTTCCGGGTTGGGGGGAGGAGGTTATGGAGTTTGAACTTGGTCTTGCTAGGCAATTGCTATACCACTTAAGCCACACACAGTCCTTTTGCTTAGTTTGTTTTTCAGTTAGCGCCTCTTGTGTAGTTGAGACTACAGGCCTTGTCCCACCATTCCCGGCTTGTTTGTCAAATAGGATCCTAATTTACTGTTGCCTGGACTGGCCTTGAACCTCAGATCCTCCTGTCTGTCTCCTGAGTAGCTGAAATTATAGGCATGTGCCACCTCGCCTGACTTTTTTCATGTTTTCACAGCCTATGAAAAAAGGGAAATATAAAGGTCAGGATCTAGTCTCTAAAAATTGAATTGAAATAAAAACTTCCTTAAATTCATGCAAAAATATAAATGGATAGTTATGGTTTTTATCCTCCCCCAGTGTATTTACATTTTGGGTAGATGTTTGTTTACCCAGTTCCTTTCTAATTAATAGAATTTCTTGTATTTGTTTTGTGTTCACTGAGTTTGTGCCAAGTGACTGGAGAAATAGAAAGTGATTAGATACGTGTTTTTTTTTTTTTTTTCTCTCAGAGAATTTGCTCATTAATAAGGAAATTGCCAGTGTTCTGTGATTTTTGACCTAGTAGTGCTCCTAAGAACACCAATACAAAATAGAGTTATGGATCTTTGGGATTTCTCTGTCAGAAAAGTAGAGATCTCATCTGATTCTCAGATAAGAGTTTCAAAACAGCTTTTCATGTCACTTCTTTACCACTCTTACATAGTCTAGTTTTTACAGCTTTCATTTCCCTCTTAGAACTCTCTTTTGTCCTTTTACTCCTAGTGATTATTTGATTCACTAAATAAAGAAGACCTGAACCTTCATGAATTCTTTTTGTTGGGGCCCAATAAATGTCTACCTGGCCTTTTGTGAATTAGGGATATCAACATACTTGATTGCTTTCTTCCGTCCTGTACAACTCTTCCTTTTCCTCAACTCTTAACTAATTAAATACTCTTTACCTGTGTTTTTAGTTTGAAGTGATTATTGTGTTTGTAGAGAAAGTCATTTTGGGGCTAGATGTTTTTAATTATGGTTAACTACTGTGGATGTTTTCCCACTGTATTTAATTGAAATTCTTTATAGAATTGCCTGAGAACCCAGTGTAATATGTTCACTGAACAAATCTTTTTTTCTTTTCATTTCAGTTGGAAAGACATCTTTGATCACCAGATTCATGTATGACAGTTTTGACAACACCTATCAGGTATTTTGTTTTTGCCAATTTTTTAGTTGTCTATTTTGTTACAAGTAATACTGAAGCTATTTTTTAAAGTACCTTTATTTACACGCAGTCATGGATGTAAAAGCACTTTCCATAGTCTGTAAAATTACATGTAAATACAAAGTATAAATACCCATGGTCTTCAGCCTTATTCAAAATCTTTTGAAAGATTGTCTTTAATACTATTGAGGAAGGAATTAGAGGTTATGGTAGAAATTCTCTTATAGAAAATACATTTAAGTCTAGGATTCTGTAACATTTTGATCTACACTCAGAAGTCAAGAATAAATGAGTAATGAAATTAGAAATCATTAACAGAAGGAAGTTTGGGAAATTCACAATTATGTGGAATTAGAAATTCTTTTCTTAAATAATAAATGTCAAAGATGAGATCACAAGGGAAAGTAGAAAGTATTTTGAGATGAATGAAATGAAAACACAGCATAACAAAACATGGGATACAGCTAAAGCAGTGCTAAACAAAAAAAGAAGAAAGATATTAAACTTAATGACTTAACCTTTCATCTTAAGAAACTAGAAAAAGGAAAGCAAATAAACTGAAAGCAAGCAGAAGGAAGAGGCTGTTCTAAAATGTAGGTTTTATTACTTAGTTATGATGAGGCCAGTAAATAGATAAAGTTGTGATTGCCATTGAAGTTTGATATATGTAGATCCCAGGAGAAGAGGGATGTATGCCATACCCTAGACTGACTATATAGGTGAGCACTGGGCTCAGTCAGGTGTCTGAGCTGATCTTTTTAAGGAAGTTTAGGTTATTAATGTCTTAATGTTTCATCACAGAGAAATGATAAATGTTTGAGGTAGTGGCTGTGCTAATTACCTTTTATGGTCATTGCACAATATAAACATGGATCAGAGCATCACTGTTGTACACCATAAACTTGTACAGTTACTTTGTATCTGTTTAAAAGTACACACTCAACAAATGAGGAATAGAAAGGAACTTCATCAACATGATAAAGAGCATCTATGAAAATGCCACAGCTAACATGATGCAAGCCTGAATGCTTTTTTTATAAGATCAAAACAGGAGGGATGTCTGCTGTTAGAATTGCTTAATTATAATGCGAAAAATGAGCAATCTGAAAAGAATAAATCAGTAATTTTAAGACTGAGTACTTTTACTTAGGCTTTAAACACATGGTAAATCTTTTTCTGTATTAACTTAAAAATTATGGTTATTATACATATTGTATAAATAGATGAGATTACCTGGTAGGTTTTTTTTCTTTTCTTAATGTTGTTGCTAAAATTTTTTCAAAAGGCCCCCTTAACCTATTTGTTTTGTTTGGTTTTGACAGTATTGGGGGTTTGAACTCAGGGCCTCATGCTTGCTAGGCAGGTGCTCTACAACTTAAGCCACTCCACCAGCCCTTTTTTGTGTGGGATATTTTCAAGATAGGGTCTCAAAAACTATTTGCCTGAGCTGGCCATGAGCAGCGATCCTTCTGATTTCTGCCTGCTAAGTAGATTGGATTCTTACAGGTGTGAGCCACTAGCACTGGACATTGTTTTGGTTTTTTGAGATGGTCTCGTTGGGTAGCCCAAACTGGACCTTAGACTCCCAATCCTGCCTTGGTCTCCTGAGTGCTATGATTACAGGTGTGTACGATCATGCCCAGCTACTTACCTATTTTGAATCTGTATTACTGTGTAGTTGATAAAGAAACTTGATTCCAGTTGCTTTGCCTTAGTTTTATATCGCAGGTTAATCTGATTAAAACAATGATTTCTGTAGCATTACTATCAGTTATTAACTGTTCTCATCTCAGTTATGTTCTCATTTCAACTATTTACCAACCTTTTTATTTTTCAGGAAGCTTTTAGGATAAACACAAAATTTGAATCTTTTTTTAATATGTATAGATAAATTTGAAATCTTCTTTAAAATGTATTTTTCCACTTTGAAATATTTATTTCAGAATATGCCTTTTGAATTGAATCTCTTGAAAAAGTTGGACATTTCTTTGGTACTTTGATTGTTTTAGACCAGTTACTTAATTTTTTTGGAGTCTGTGTTTTCATATCTATAAAATGAAAATTATAATCCCTATACAAGGTGACTTCTTTTTGGAAAAAGAAGTTCTATTCTTTTGTGATTATTGTCATTTACCATTTAGAAAACAACATTGCTTGTTTTGATTTCATTCTTCCTTCAGTGACTAGCACTTGTTTCATAAAATGCACTTGTTGCATTTTAGGCAACTGTACTTTCACATAGATGTTCTACTAGCCTTCTATACTTTCTTTTCCATGATGTCAGTCTTCTCTAAAAATCACTGGTTCATTTCATATATTCCCTTCTTAGTCCACTATCTTTGATTCTAAAATTTTTATTCAGGTACTCTTATTGTAATAGTTCCACAGTTCACACCAAAACCTCACATTCGTTAATTATAATCTGTATGTTTGTAAACATCAAGTCCTTTGTCCCTATCTTACTTTTCTCCTTTTCTAGCTTAGACTTCATGTGAAGTATATTTAACATTCTAGCCTCTTTTTTTTTTTTTTTCTATTTTCTATTTTTCCTTTTTTTTTTTTTTTTCCGGGCTGGGTACTGAACTCAGGTGCTTGTACTTGCCAGGCAAGTGCTCTTCCACTGAACTAAATCCCCAACCCCTAGCCTCTTTTTTTTTTTTTTAAATTTATGTTCAATCACATCTACCAGACACAATCCATACTGTAGTTGAATCCAGTCATCTTTTTCTCTTAAACACATTGATGTTGCTAGTGTCAACTAGATCACAAGTTCTGCCAAGCACTCTTTGTAGTAACTATTTCATGCTTATTCTGTACTCAAACCTGAATTTTACCACTACTACTACTTTTCTCTAACCCTCACTTTGAATATCATGCTTCTTAGCAAAACATAAGTTACCAGACAGGAATATCCTTATTTATTTTTCTTAAATCAGCTATGTACATTTAATCACATATATATGAATCTTCTTTCTCATTCCAATATAATAAAGTTGTTTTTGTCAAAAGCTAGTCCTAAGTAGCTTTTATGTTAAATCTTACCTTCTCTAGCATTCATTACACCCAACTCCTAAATTACTCTTTAATTTATTTTCTATAATTTTTGGTTTTAGGCCAGGCACTATTCTACCTATTGGGTACACAGTAGTAAAGCCTTGCTGTCATGGAACTTCTAGTTGGGAGACATTGTACAACTAACAAGCAATCAGATAATTTACTCATCTAGTTGAAAGTGCTATGAAGAAGTGCCTTTAAGAAAAAGTGGTCACAGCATGATAATGGCTATGGTCTTTATAGTACCTAATTTACAAGTCACAAACTTGCCTTTTGGGAGAGATAGGCAGTACTGGGGATTGAACAAGGCCCTACTCATGTTTGGTAAGTGCTCTTCCACTGAACTGCATTCCTAGCCCCAATTTGCTTTTTTTTTTTTTCCTTCTGCTTTTGGCCTTGCCAACTTTCTAGGCAGGTACTCTACCACTTGAGCCATGCTCCTGCTCTTTTTGCTTTTAGATGTTTTTCAAATAGGGTCTCAGGTTTATACCTAGCCAGGCCTGGACTATGACCCTCTTATTTACCCATCCTACGTAACTGGGATGACAGGTATGTACCAGCACACCCAGTTTTATATTGGTTGTGATGAGGTCTATATAACTTTTTGCCCAGGATGACCTCTAACCATGATCTTCCCATCTCAGCCTCCAGAATAGCTAGAATTACAGGTGTGAGCTCCTACACTCAGCTTCATTTTACCATTTATTTATTTATTTATTTATTTATTTTGGTGGTACTAGAGCTTGAACTCAGGGCCTCATGCTTGCTGGGCTTGCTATGCAGGCACCCTATCACTTGAGCCACTGCCACGCCACCTCATTTTGCCATTTTTAAAGGAGAAAGAAGTTACCCTCTATGACTATTACATAGTATAAAATTTACTTTCATTCCTTTGTTTCCTGTGCACATCAGTGAATATACTTTAATGTTTAAGTTCATAAATATTTACCAGTGAATATTTACCAGTGAAGATAAAATGAAAAGTATTCAGGGGATATCATTTTCTGTTTTTGAAATCACTTTCTTTTCTTTTTTTTTTTTTTTAATTCCTCTGCAGTTTGAGGGAATGAGGGCCTTGCACATGCTAGGCAAGCACTGTACCACTGACCAACCCCCACTCTCAGTCCTTTGAAATGCTTTTGAATTGCTGTTTTGCATGCTGTTCTTCAGAGCAACCATTCTGTAGTTTATATTTAGTAATGGTATAAGGTAGTCAGTCCCCCATTGGGCAGGAGGTGTGGCTCCAAAGGTTGAGTGCCTGCCTAAAAAGTGCAAAGCCCTGAGTTCAAAACCTCAATACTGCCAAAAAAAAAGAAAAAAAAGGCTAAGGCAGTCCCCATTATCTATGGTTTCAGTTACCTATAATAAGCCTGAAAATATTAAGTGGAAAATCTCAAAAGCAATCAATCCATAAGTTTTACCTCGCCATTCTAAGTAGCGTGTTGAAGTCTCTTGCCATCTTGTTCTGTCCAGTCTAAGATGTGTGTCATTCCTTTGTCCTTTGTATCCCTGGTGTATATGCTATCTGCCTGTTATTCATTTAATAGACACCTCATTTGTGATAACTTCGGTGTCACTCAGATAACTGAGATGTCTGTTACATTACAGTATTGCTGTGCTTGTATTCAGGTAACCTCACCAGAATTGGCTGGAACCTTGATCATGGACTTCCACCCTCCAGAACTTTAAGAAAATAAATTACTGTTATTTCATCCACTTTCTGATATTATGTAATGGCAATTCAGATAGACTAATACAACATTAAAAATTAGTCCTTGTAATATTAGTACAATGAAGTTCAAAGTAAAAGTAGAAAAAATATTTGACAAAATGTATTATACTTTAAAACTGTCAGAAAACAAAAAAAGAAAAGAAAACAAATAGAAAGTCTCTTAATGTAATAAGTTACCTGTCAAATTCTACAGCCA